AAAGAGCAAATGATAAAACTCTAATCAACCCGAGTGAGATTGATGGACCTTATCTCATATTTTGTCATAAGATTATAAACTGAATTGCAAACCAAATTATTATTTATATCAAATGTATAAATTAGCTTTAGAGTTTTTGAAACTTAAAATGTCTCCATCAATACGAATCGAGTGTTTTCCGAATTGTTTTTAAATAGATTCCCCGTTCACTCAAAAAATACTATTTTTGCATTAATTGCTCCATATCTCCGTAACGGCTGGGCATGCATTTACCAAAAACAAATCAGTACGTCTTCCCGTCAATACGAATCGAATGTTTATTGCATTATTCAAATCGGTTGATCCGTGCTCTCGAAATCGTGAACAAAAGGTTGCATCCATACATCATTTTTTTCTAAGGTATGCCAGAATGCTCAGAAACCTTTGAAACGTTTTTTTCGATTTCTGTTTTCGATTTTTCGTGATAAAATTTACCCTGAAGTCTAAAAAATCAGTTTATGTTTTAAATGAACAAATTTTTACTTTGTTTTATTAAATATTATTTTTGCAGTTACTTTTATTGAATTATAATTGAAGTAAAATTAATTGCTAGAACTTGGCTCATTATAACTGCAATTTCTAAGAGCTTGTAAACGTGTTGTTAAATAATTAATGAAGCTAGCTAAAATGATACTTTGATTTTTAATGAAATTATTGGTTAGCAGTTTCCATGAATTTTTCATGGATATTGATTATCAAATTATCTGCAACCTCACAAAGTGCACTTTACGAAAATGTCAAAGGGAAATATTATTTTATCTTTACGGAATATGAATTCAATTTTATAATAGAATAAATTTGATGATGAAATGTTTGCAAACTCTCCTTTTCGTAAGCAATTTGTATAGTTTTGGATGTGGTGGTTCCACTATTTACTTTTCTAAATTGCCATTGATTGAAATACAAGCGCCTGTGAAGGTTTGGCAATGGTAATATATATATATATATATATATATTTATATATACAATTGTATAATATTAACCTTGGATAAATTCCAAAATACGCAACATGCTTCTGTGTAACAGTGTTGCTTAAATTGTCGAAGTTTTATTTTAAGCAATTGATAAAAATGATTAATTCAATGTAATGTGAATTGTATTTATGAGCTAACTAGTATCTGTATAAATTAATTGAATATAACAGTACTGAAACAGAATTTTAAAAATATGTAGTTGAAAAAGAACAAAGAAAAAAAAACTAAAGAAATCAATTAGATACCATGCCGACTTACGTTTACTTACTTAGGTTTATTCATAATGGATATGCTGTCTACGTGATTTTTTTCATAAAAATATTCAAGTACAGCCCTATAAATCTGAGCTTTTATAAATTTTATCTCAAAATATGATGACTATTACCGAAATGATCTTGATTCATTTCACGACCGACAATGTAACATGTTATACTCATCTTGTAAAATAAGTGTTAGTTTCTTCAAGGCTTTTCCTCATTACAAAAGCAAATGTTACTACATGTTCTTCTTGTAAGATATTATCTCTAAGAATCTTTGTAAAATACAGAATTTCCTGCAATGTAATGATTTCAATGCTCGAGATATGAAGAGATGTTGTTAATTTCGCAATTTGTACTTGCGTATAAAGTTTCATAAAAACATATGGCAAATAATAATTTAAATTATGATAAAGTATTATTTATTGGAGAACTAGGATGAAGTACTTTATTGTATTAAGAATTATCAAAATTTATGAAATTACCATATACTACTATTTTTTACTAGTTATAAACTTTACTTATGAACAGCTTGGGTAAAGTTATTTTATTTTAAATTGTCTATGTAAATTATTTATGAAAGCAATTTCTATTCATTATGATGTTTGCATTTATATCAAAATTAACTCACGATTTTTCACACAGGTCAAATAACAGTATCAAATATTTTTTTCCACATGTGTTCACATTTATTTATAGCATTTTTATGATTGCCATAAAATAAACATTATGTATGATAACGCTTTAATTTAAATTAATTAATTCGTCATCTGGTGTAATGTTATCATTGTCAAATGTTTATACGTCGACGCCGATAAAAAATGTAAATTATTTAAATATTTGATAAAAATTGTCTGTATTTTAGTATGTAGTAAAATAGCATGAAATTTATAGTTAAAAATCAATTTTGCAAGTTCGATTGCCCTTTCAGATAGCCTGATATCAAGCTTGAAAATAAATATCTGAATTTTAAGTATTTACTATTCAGTTTACAATTTTGCCCATACCTAACTCTAAATAATATACAATTTGATATATTATTCCTCGAAAACCAATTATTTTCTGCACCAAATACAAAAAAGCATTATACTCGGACAGGATTAAATTTATCGATCTCCTTACACCAATACCATCGAAAACACATATTGAGATTTGATAAATTGTTTCGCATTTGTTAGAGCGCCCATATCGTTCTAACGATTTTTAAAAAATATTATATGATTTTAAAATGATTTATTTTTTTCTCAAGTCGTACTTGCCTAAAATAAAGATCTAAATAACTAAATTTATATTTGTTCTTAAATTTCATATTGCTAGTTATGCATAATAGATGGATCTAATATGATTGTTGGTATGAATGATAGTATTGTTAGTGGTTAATATGGAAATCATATATAGAGATTAAGAGTGTAATTCAAAGTTATTAAAGTTAATTAAGAAATACAAGACTCATGTGTGTTATTAGAAACGGCCAAACCTATAAATATTATTCAAAATTAAAGTATTCAAGTTGCTTTTTCCTAATCAGTTCTTTAAGTACGTTTATAAATATTATCACATAGTTGAAAAAAGTGGATTAAAATAAATGATTTCTAACATAAGAAAAACAAAATTTTATTACTATTAAAGAGAAATGTACCTTCAATTATCCCAGAGAAATTTTGCACGTGTGATAATACCCTTATCCGATGATATCGTTAGCAAGTGCTAAAACGAAATACGAGGTTTTTGACAAAAACACAAATCATACAATAACGTTTTTGAAATACAATATATAATTCAGAACAAACAAATCAACTGGCACATGAAATGAACACCTATAAATCATCCGACGTTTTATATACGGACAACAGAGAGATTTAAGCTAAATTGTAATTAGTCATAGTAATGAATTATGTGGACGTAAATAATTTAATTGTCAGGACGTAGTAAATACATGAATAGCTTTTATAGTATTATTTATTATTATTAGCAGTTTTATGGTTTGAAATTATTATAGTTTGTCATATTTTCCAGTCGAGGGTTTGCAATAAATAAAATTTGTGAACGTCAAAACAAAAGGAATATATTAATTTGATTTACATCCATAAGCTTAAAATTAGAGGAAGCAAAAATTTATTCATATTGTACAAGTGTCAAAATAGACAAATTAATGCACAAATGCATAACATATTTTTCACATATTTTTAAAGATTCTAAGAAATCTTATGATTATTACAAATACCGCAAAACTATTTACATTAAATTGATAAAAACGTCTATGAAGTTTTTTAAGATTTATTTTAAAACGAGCTCCAGACAATATGGACGCAATATTGGTAATAAAGGCACAAGATTCAAATATTGCACCACGATTCGCCAACCTCCTGCCACGATTCATTTCTACTGGCTTTCAAGTTTAGGTCTACTAATAGGTAAAAATTTATTTAATCTTTAAAATTTAACAGTTTTTGTACCATGATCATTGCACGAGTAAACAAATGCTTCATTGGTCATAGTACTTTTTGAAGAATTCATTTAATAACACATCTTAACAAACAATGTATTTGTGATATAGAATATCGTAGATAAGCCCGTGAATTAAACATAAATAATATTTTGTTTCTTCCCCATAATAATAAAGTAAATTAAAACATTTTCCATCCCAACAATTCCTAATTTTCGCCACCGAATTAATCTTTCCCAACATCTCTCGCAAATGAGTATGTCTCTGATATGTTAATCAAACATTCTGTCAGAGCCCGTAAATGTAACGTAACAGGTTTAATATCTTCATACCCTTAGAAGGCTCCGTAGTCACTTAATAGGCGTATAATTCAAATTACAAAGTGGTACCCTAGCCTCCGATGATTATGACGGGAATAACATCTAATTACTTCATCCTAAAGCACATGGTAATTTTGCTTACCTGTGCGTGAACCACGAACTTTGACTGACAACTATATCCAATAAACAGATTAAAGGAAAATTGGGAAATAATATTTGATAGAAGTTTGCTATTATCAGGATATTCGTGATAAAACTATAAATAACGTTATTTGTCGTATTTGATAAAGTCCAATGCATAGCAATTTTGCATTAACAATTGTATTATGCCTCGAGGTAAGTTTCATAAACTTGCCACTATGTCTAAATAATCGGATTTAATTGATAGGATTTGAGATTTAGTGTCTTGAGATTTAGAAAATGGTTACGATAAACTTTTTAACCATTTATTTTGAGGATAAAGTTTTCGATTTTGTTGTTAACTTATCAGCACGAGGCCTAACTAATCTTTATCCAACGCTTTTCAACATTCAAGAATGATGACAAGATTTTTAGCCAAAACGTGTACAAATTATGTAACAGTTTTTGTTTGATTTTAAAGAAACGGCTCAGCTGATCGTCTTGCTTTCATTGGCAATTTGCAAGAAAATACCGAGGAATGGTCTAATTTTGGCTCACATACATGACCGCACATACATATTTCAATTTTGATGGTCAAACGATTCAGAATGACTAGAAACAGCGAGAAAATATTGTATAGCAGCAATATACAATTACAGATACAATACAATTTACAATACAATTATCCTATTAGCAAATCGCATTTTCTGACTAAACATACACTCCTCTTCAAAAAGTTGATCAACATAAAGTTGTACAAACTTTCCTGCTTTTTACATAATTACATTATTCAATACTTGATATTATTTATTGATAAAAACTAATTTGTTTCGATGTATTTCAGGATTCATTCAAATACTTATAAGTTTTGAGAGCTGTTGGCATCTATAGATACTTGAGAATTTTCTCCTATCAAAGAAGTTTCCTTATTCAAAGTAAGTACCAGAGGTATTTCTTTAGATTTTAAATCGCTTTTAATTATGGATATTAAGTAATTTAAGTCAATATTAATTTTAGATGTAAATAAAGATATGTTCCATAATTATATGATTGATAAACATATACAATCATAACAAATAAATCGAAGAAATAAATAATAATAATAAATTACAGTAAAAGGTAACAAAGTCGAAACTTGGCTTTGAAATAATTAAAATTTTAAAAAGACTTAAAATCCTTGAATAGCATTATCTGTATCTGGAAATAAGAATTGATTTCTACTAACTCTGGAACACATTAAAAAATATATGATTTATATAAAAGTTTATCTTAAAATAAAATAAAATCAATAGTATTTAAAATTATTTACAAGGACCGTTCTAAATATTGCTATATTCCTTAAATTTGAGAAGTACTAGTAAGACTTAAATCTGCAAGCACTAACCTGGTTAACATAAGTCAGATTCTTCTCTCATATATGAAAAATAGCACTAGTTTAAAATTAAAATTTACCTAGATAATAACATTTTGCACTACTTATACTTGGAACTTAATGATTGACAACTAAATCTGATATTAAATTGTTGGAATAAAATTGACCAAATAACATCAAAATTCCTCCTGTGTATTCGTTCCATTCTGAAGTTCAATAATCTACCTATTTTCTACGAATTTCCAAAATATTTAGATAAGTTTAACCTCCAACTATGTTTCTTCATAGGAAGCATATGTTTCCTCCCAGGAAGTGTATGTTTCCTCTCTTAAATCGACTAGGAAATGCAAAAAGCTGTTCGATCTTCGAAGAATCGACAGATTTCTCGACAATATATGGATTTGAAAAGAGCACGTTTTGTAGTATCTATCGCATTGTGCAGATTTACTCGTCTTTTTGACAATAAGCGGAAAATCCTTTTTGCGATGCTAACTTGTATAAGAGGTATAAAATAAAATTTGTAGAGATGAAAGTGCTTGTGCACCTGATATCTTATTCACGATCCAGTATTCACACTTACGAATGTGATTTTTTTTGAAAAAGTGGGTCAAAGTTTATTTACCATTTAGCCTCCCATTGCCATAGCACATCGTACTGCACAAGTTGATTTTTTAATAAAAACATGTTACCGTAATATTTAGACAAGAAAGTCTACTTGATATCCGTGAGATGCCTCTACGTGATATTGCAAATTAAATCCTCCAAGTGTTAACTCTATATGAAACGCTGCGAAATGGCGATAAAAAGGTTTGTTTCTGCCTCGAATGAATCGAGTTTTTATTTTCTGAATATAAAATCTTTTTAGTACGAGAATGATTCAACAGTTTTATTATTATGTCCTATAGAATTCCTAATAAATAAGCTACAGGCGATGTCATTAGTTGATATCAAGTGGGCTAAGTGCATTTTGATGTCTTCATAATGTTCTCTAGCCGGGAGATTTAGCTTTGTCTAACAATATTTCTCAATCTAGGATCCGTGGAAAAGTTACTATAAAGAATAGAAATAGATTTATATATTACTAAACTAAAGTGGAGTTTAGTGAAACTTTCTAATGAGCTAGAAATAAAAGCCCACTTATAAATAATTAGGAAAATACGGCGGCCTTTTGTTCCTAATATCATTTTGGTGACAGCGGTAAACGTCCAAACATTACTTTGGTGGCAGCGGTGGGAATATAGAGGATAAATGCGGATATATTGATATTAAATCTAACCGAAGTGAATTCATATTAAATATAAATCATAAATATAAACACACACACACACACACATATATATATATACCATTTTGGTTGTTGACAAGTATGCAAAATATTAATTGAAGGACAAAATAATTATTTCTTTTTAATTCGTTTATTTGCTCCGGCTAATTTGTTTGCCAATTACCGTGTTTCATTAATGCTTGCAAAAAGATGACAAATGTTAATGTATTTAATTTTACATTTTATGCTCATCATCAGTACTAATAATAGTACCTACAGATGTTGAACTCAAATTGACAATATAGCAAGAATTATAGTATTAATGCTGACAAATCGCAATTTATTGATACAATCTGTTTTTTTTTAATACTTGTATTTTACAATTTTTGTAATGTATTTATTGAGATTGACCAAGTATTAAATTCTATATTTCCATTCATAAATAGTGTTATGAATAAATTAATGCTTGCACGTATGATGCAAATGCAAAAACCGAGACAGAGTATTAACTAGATTTGAATAATATTTAAATTTAGCTCTAGCAAAACATTAAAATATTCATGTAGGCACGTTTTCGGCATTTTAATTACAGTATATACGGAAAAACAATGTTAGAACTGGGCCGTTCCAATTATACGAAACTGCTCTTGGTATTGTTTGTTAGACGCAGTTTGTGTTTTTTGCTCATTAATTAATATGAAGATAACGAAAAACGCTTCGGCAAGTGTTTTGTTCAGTTAAGTGCAAATGAAGGTAAACCTAATGGCTTCAAGATGTCTTTTATCTGTTATTGTTTCACCATGGTATAAAATTTTAATTTTCGGAACAACGTTTCAAGGAAGCATTCAAAAATTACTTATGAATATTATAATTATGCCAAGAAAAATATATAGTCATTTTTAGAAAAACGTTTTTATTTGCACCTAAAAAAATAAATTAAAATTTAATTTTTATAAGATTTTAGCACGTTTGCGGACAGTTAAAGTTTCAGCTTCAATTACTTTCATTACTCCCATGAGTCTAAATTTCATAAAACCAATTTAGCTTCATATCTAATTTGAGAAAATCATTCCTTAATTCATCCCATAAACAACCGCTTAAAATAACAAAGAAAAACTATATTACATCTGTAACTCAGTCTTTATTATCTCATCATGGCGTTGTTGGTTATTTATCTAGCCTGTTACTTTGGAACGAAATGAAAAATTTATACGAACACGAAAATAACGTTTATTAAACGCAATATATTTTCCGAGGTATAAAGAAAAACTGTGAAAAGCTTCTCTAAACACTCGTTGGGCCACTTAACATGAAACATTTAGCTGTTCGCTTCAACTTTTATACTCGTACCCGGAGGCTGTAAATAAATAAATAGCAAGAGATATACAGCATAATCTGAGAAAAAATAATATATATATATATATATATATATACATACATAAATAACTCTAAATACATTTTTTTTCTACGGATGTATATCACCTAACTTTTCCTACACGGTTATTCAAATTTTGATAAATCTTTTTGGAGTTTCTCAAGGGAAATTTTTAAGATAATTTGAGAATATGTATTAAGATAATATATGTATATATTTTATATAAAATTCTTTTTTACGGATGTATGCCACAAGACGCCTTCTACACGGTTATTCGAATTTTGATAAATCCTTTTGGAGTTTGTCAAGGATTTTTTTTTAGATGTTATGAACCATGAAACTATAGTAATATTGTAAAAATAAATGGCAAAAGTTGCAAAAAACATATCAATGTTTGACATTGAAGACATTTTGACAGATGAGAACTGTTATATTCTCCAAATGTCAATTCACCTGACGTGGATGATGTAGCATTTAACTTGAATAACAATCAAAATATAAAAATCTGATTACCATTAAATATGATGTTTAATCAAATTCTAGATATCACAATATTTTAATTAAAAAATGATCCAATTATTGATCCTTGCTGAAACTTTTACTGTCAGCGAACGTGCTAATAACTGTAGAACTTTTTGAAAAACACAATAAATGTTTAAGAAATTTTACGAAAATACAGGTTAAGTGACTTTTATAAAAATACAGCTATGATCATGGGACTTTAAATATTGTATCCTGTTATTGCAAGACCAATGTTCCTACCACGGAACTACAGACAAGCCCACTTTACCGTATTATAACAACAAATTGCAACTTTCTTGTCCTCTTAGAGCAATGACTCAAATGTTAAAACAATCACGCAATACTCAATAAACAGAATTACTTTATTAAATTCTTGGCTCAATCATAAGGTTGAATCATATGTCTCGACATTTGAAATTGTATTCAAACACTCTTATGAAATGTATATTTTTGAGATTTATGATGTGGAGTACAGAATTGATATTACAGAGTATTGAAATACAATGAAAGTTAATAATACATACATAATAATACATTGTCACGAAAATAAAGGCGATTTTTTGCCGAGGTAGGCAGAAAAATATAAAACATGAAAAGAAATGCTTATATGAGATGGTATTAAATCGGATATGTACCTCAAACCCGTAAAGTTCAGAGTAGTTCCGTTTTAAGTTTATTTTGGAAATTTAGACCACATAGACTGATGTAAAACGGCGTTATTATCTTCAAATATTTGAGGGTTATAGGTTGTTATGGCAACGCTATGTTACGATCCTTTCTCCATATAAATTGGTAGTAAAAACTGTCAAAATTCTATATATTTGCTGTGCGATCAGACATTTTACACATACAACCTAACTTCACATGTGTTATCATGACACATCTGAAAGATGCAGTTATTATAACATTTCTTCTCTGGGGTTTGCGCTTTTCTAGGTTACATTTTATATGACCACAAAACAAATTTCTATCATTTACCTTCGTACTAATAATTTTTCTCTTATTACTCCCCAGTATCAAATTATTTTCCTCTCTTAAAATTTGGCACGTCCTGCATAAATTATTTTCTTGGTGAAAATTTTCTGAAGTTATTATTAAAATAAGTTTGGCTTCATATTTTTACTACGTAAAAGTTTTCTCATAACACAAGAGTACGCGGCGGAAGAAAATTATCAATTCCCAACGCATCGCCATATCTAATTCATGAAGCTAATACGTAATTAATATTTAATAGAAAACTTTTAAAACTTATATTTCAGGCTTTAAAATTATTAAGTTATCACACATTGAAAATTTTATGCTGTAAAACTGATTAATTTTCTAATTATTGCACGATGTTTCAAGTGACCATATCATGATTATCTACAAAAATAAAAACTTTCTGATTTTTCCAAATTTTTCA